TTAAATTATTTCATAAAAGAAATACTAGGTTACTATTAGTAACCTAGTATTTCTTTTATTACTGTATAATGTAATCCTAGTAACGACTAATTCATTGTGCAATTTATATAAATGTTTGTAATAAATAGGAGAAAATTATATTTTTATTTATTTAAAAGCGACGGGTTGGTTTCAACGGATGACGGGTGCATTGTTGGACAAGCCGTCCTCGGAGACGGGTAAAATTTCTGAGTTTTTTCGAGCCCTGGCAAATGAAAAAAAGTTAAATATGAGTCTTTGTATGTGTTTGAAAAATCATCTGCATTACTTTCGTCAGTGAAAGTCATTTTTTTACTCTTTTTTTTCTGCGTAAATTCATCCACCACCGCGAATACAATTGTACAAAACAGTCCCACAAACAACTAAACTCCCAGACAAAAACTTCCAATCACAGCAGATTATTTTTTGTTATGCTTCCGACCGAATGAAAACGTGATGAAACATGCTGCTACGCCCGATTATACTCGGGATAATAAATATTTGCAATATATACATAACTCGGGATAATCGGTGAAGCGGTTAAGTAGAATAAGTCCCTTAAGAAACGCTACGCTGTCTGTAAAACTGTGATTAAATAATTTCAATTGTTTCAACGGATCTTGTTTAATAAAGACGTGAAGTGCTATTGCATCAACCTTTTCCATTATTACCACTTCGCATCTCCCGTTTTTTTTTAATATAATAAAAATGAAATTTAGGAAGACGATCAAAATTAAATAAAAGTGCGAAGGATATGTGCTATTGTTAATTAGCAAAATTTATTTGCGGTTAAGAGTGCTAAATTGCGCTCTCGTGCCACAGGTCCTGGGTTCGATCCTCGGGCAGGGTGAGGTTGATTCAGCCTTTCATCTCTTTGGGTCGATAAAATGAGCACCAAGCATGTTTGGGAACTAAACACTGGGGGTTCCACGTCCGGCTGACCACCTATCTGGAACATCTGCTCCTGTACCCCAGAGCCCAAGGTTAGGAAAACTGAGATGGGCACAATAGGCCTTGGCCCTCCATGGACTGTCGTGCCACTGAGGTTAGAGTTTAAGAGTGCTAAATTATTTAGAAAGGTGCATCCGGGGTCCTAATAGTTTGAGGAAAGATTGAATCCCAAATGTTAATTTTAGTTTTTGTATATTTCGTTATACATCGAGAACTTTCTAGGTGAATCGATAATTTTTGGCTTACAAGTATAAAATGTATTTGCCGAAAAATATTTCAGTGCATATAATGATTTTTACTATTCATTTTTTTTGTTATTATTTTATTAAAAAAAGAGTCGAAAAAAAAGTTGCAAGTTAAAAAAATTCTACATCATTTTAAATAACATTTTAAATTACTAAATACAAAATTTGAATGAAAGTTGTTGAAAAATTTTTGAGAAATCTAAATTTGCGATTTTTTTTTTCATAAAAACTATAAAAAAAAGTCTAATAAGATGGAGTCTTAGATCTAAAATTATTCATGCCGTTGCGTCCTATACATTACATTAGAGCAGTAGATTTAAATTTACAAGACTCCCTCGTACGCTAGTTATACATTACAAAAAAATGAAGTAATGATAGTTAGTGAATCATGGATAATGACAGCTCATAAAATCACACTTAAAATTCATACTTTGAAATAAAGAAATCCATAGAATATACCTGTAATCGTGATTATGAGGAGATTTCGTTCTGTAAGAGAGAAGTTCTTTTAAAATAGTGTCGCCCTCTTCCTCCAGATGGCGCAGCTGCTCGTCGTGAAAGGCAAGACTGACTATCCTCTTCTGTTGTTCTATCATTTGATGAGTGAGAGAGGAGGAGATGGGTAAGCGATGACCCCTAAGCTCTTCTAGGAGACTGACTAAATATCGGCCAGAGAGACGGCAACCGTTCATAAATGGTTCCAGAAACTATAAATATAAACAAAACTGTTCACTTCTATTAGAAAAGAAAGCGAAACTATAAAAATATGCATTCTTTTTTTCTTGAGGTAAAAAATGGACACTATGATAAAAAAAGAAGTTCTTTTAGAATGAAAAATGGGTATTAGATAAGACAAAAACAGTTCTTTAGGAATAAAAAAAGAACACTATGGAACGTAAAAAGCAGTTCTTTCGGTTAAAAATTGGACAGTATAAAACAAAAAAAAGCTGTTCTTACGAGATCAAAAAAAAAAATAATAAAAAAAATAATGGACACTATGAAACGAAAAAACGGTTCCATTGGGATAAAAAAGATGGACACTATAATAAAAAAGCAATTCTTTAAGGAAGAAAAATAGGCACTAGATAAAAAAAAAACCCTGTTCCTTAGGAATAAAAAAGAACGAAAAAAGCAGTTCTTTTGGGTTAAAAAATGGGCACTATAAAAAAAAAAAAGTAGTTTTTAAGAGATGAAAAAAATGGACACTCTGAAGCGAAAAAAACGGTTCCTTAGGGATTAAAAAAAATGAACTATAAAACGAAAAAGTAGCTCTTTTGAAGAAAGGAAAATATATATTTTAGAAGAAAACTGCAATTATTACTAAAAGGGGAAAAAAAGAACAAAAATGCAATTTCAATAATAAAATATTTCTCGGTGGCAATTTCTATACTTTTGATAACTTCTTTGCATCCAATTAAAGAAATAACTTCGGATATATTTTTCCGAATTTTTTTTAACCAAATGTTACTTTATTTACTCAATTGAAAATAAGCTAACTGAAATTCGATATTATATTAACCTCGTTGCTAAAAAAAACTTATTTAATTTATAATGGAATGGAATTTTTATATTAGCTTTAAGTATTTATAATTTAAAATAAAATTGCGATCAGTTTTTTTGTCAGGCACTTTTATTAATTACCAGACATTATTTCATTCTTATAATTTTAACCTCTTATTTTTATAAAGCAGCGTGAAAGGCGACCACTGTTATCTTGTTCCTAACAAAAAAAAGTTCTTTTTTAAATGTAACTTGAAATATGCATTGGTGCAAGAAAGCTCATTTTGTTATGAATAAAACAACTTTTATTTACTACATTCTAAAAACTTAAGAACTGATAATTATTGAAAATAGAATATAAGACGCAATCAATCTGGTAACGAAAATAAAGTGAACAAAAACGAGGGCTAACACACGCGTTGACCGATTTATCGAAGATGACAATCATTGACTAACATATAATTGAAACAGTGGTTCATGAAATAATAAAAGAGTGTTTGAAAATCTGCGACTTTTAAAGTGATGTTTTCAGAAGTGAGTTTCAAACTTCTTAATTCTTTCAAAGTCAATTTATGATCACTATTTAAAATGTATAGCACCCGTGACAGCTTTGTAAAAACAGCTCTTGATTTTTATTTTTTTTTTAAATGTTTGAAAATAGACGATATCACCTTATGAATAGATTCAGATTCAATAGTTTATTCTTAAAAAAGGAATAATATTGATAGCGAAATTGGAATCAAATTACATTTTTCTTAAACAAACATTTGTAGCTGTGTCCAAAACTCCCCAACGAGTTATATACAGTCAAACCTCGCAATAGCGAACCTTTAAGCGACCGAAATTTCGGTTCACTATAACCGGGAGTTCGCTCTATCCGTAATGCAAACTATTTTAAATCATTTATTCGAAATGACACATTATTTAAATAAATGACCCATAAAAAAGAAATACAAAAATGATTAAAAAACAATATGTAGTCACAAAAAATGTGTTCACTTTTATTTTTTATTATTAGGGGAGAGTGGGGTCAATTGTAACAGGGTACGATTGTAACAGAGCAAAAATTTCGAGTGTCGGGTTATAGATTTGGTTCCTAGGTGGCGCACAAGGTGTATTTAATAAATCTACATGTACACCCCTGATGATAGTTTAAATATGCACTAATTAATATTAAATTGCACTATGGGGGCCTGCTAATGTGTTTTTCTTGCTTTTTCCCTCAGGCTTTCTGCGGAGGTTAATGAAGTTAGCTGTTTGTGCATGTTGCCCTTGGTCTTTTTTTAGTCAGTGATATTGATCTGGTCATCGGCCCTCTTAAGTCACGTGGTCACATCCCATTTAATTTGTGCTTGATTCGCTGTCAATAATTATTGTTAATGCTGTCCATCAGCCATAAATAAAGGAAATCAGAAATAAACTCATCATTTTGGATAAAAGCAACTTCCTTCTTTGATTTCCGATTCAATGAATAGATATAATGTGTATTTTTTCTCTTTCCTGTTGCGATTAACATTTTTTAAGAAGTAAAGTAGAACCATTGAAGTAAACCATACACTGAGATAAAAAGTATGGTTAAAACTACCTGAATATGGTTACATTTACCGTATTTGTGAATCTAGAATATAAAATAATTTCGTGTATCTGTACACCAAAAGTCTCGTACTTTATACCAAAANACCCCGCTATAGTGAACATTCAAGGAACCGAAATTTAGGTTCACTATAGACAATTTTAACTTATTTTTCCGAACTGCTCCATTTTATGATACATTTTTTAAATAAATGACCTGGAAAAAGAAATTACAAAAATGATTAAAAAACAATAGGTAGTCACAGAAAATGTGTTCATTTTTATTTTTTATGACTCTTCCTCTTGTGTACAAAAAATTTAAGGATGTCTTTTATTTCGGGATCTGAAACAGATGCAAACAAGAAAAAATTGCTTATGTCTACATTCCCACGCAATAGATGGTTTTGAAAATCGGTATATGTATTTTTTGTTAAAATTTCAAAATGACCAAAAAAATGAAGAAACAAAATCAGTCGAAGACAGAAAAAAGTTCATAGAATCTTCCTTTGATATCCAGAAAAAAAAAATATTATATGTGTAAAGCAAGGCACGGGTGCGAACATTTCGCTCACTCTATCTGGGAGTTCACTATAAACCATGTTCACTAAAGCGGGGTTCGACTGTATTTTAAAGAAGAAAAAATGGAAAAGAAGAATTGATTACTTTTCTGAAACTTATCCACTCTTGATGATCGTAGGTGTATTTGCCGCCATATTTCTTCAGAAGTTGATTTCTGTGAATGCGGCTCACAAGTTTTTCATAGGAACACATTTCACACTGAAAAAAATAAATAAAGAAGACATCCTTAAACAAAGCCACGTGCAATGTTGAGTGACGAAGTAATGCAATCATACAACTTTTGATGTAAAGCCACCATTTTCAACACAACAACACGTCATTTTTGACTACCAATTTTTAAAAAAACACGAGTCGCGTTTATTCTTATTGTTATCTAAGTTAAGATCTTTTTATACACTTTTCTTTTATTAATTTACACAGTTAAGATCTTGTTATTCACTTTTCTTTTATTAATTAACGCAGTTAAGATCTTGTTATTCACTTTTCTTTTATTAATTTACACTTCAAAACGCTTTGTATCGATCATGTAAAATCTAAAATGAGTAAAATGTCACTCAATAATGAAAAAAACTTAGATAATTTATACAATTTCGTTTTCGTTATTAACTTTCAAAACCCTGTTTGCGACAAGATTAAATTTCATAATATTTTTGAACGTATAAAAAATGTGTTTCCATTAAAAGATTATAACGTAGTTAAAAGCTTCAAATATAATAAATTTCTAAGTAGCACTATTTCTTTTAATTATAATGATATAAGCAAAAATTTAGGAAGGAATTAATATATCCGATTATGAATGTCTCTGTGAAGAAGAGAAATATAAAACATCATAAACATATTATTTCTGGTAATTTAAATATTACAGAAAACTTTGAACTTAGAATTGGAAATGATAAAAGGCACAAAATGAAGACCCATATCAATTAATAAAATATCATATATCAATTATCATACATCAATTATCATAAATCAATTAATAAAATTCTAAAACATTTTCTTAATGATTTCAACAATTTTCGTTAACGGAATGGACTGTTTATTATTACTTGAAAAACTTTGTTTTCAGTAATAAGGAAAATTTTAAATAACAGTTAAACATTTTTTTCTAAAATTGATCGATCTTTTAAGCAACGACAAAAATTTTGTGTCATACCTCCATAGACAAAGCTAATAATGCTATCTTCTGTATGTTGAATATTTAAATAAAGAGTTAAAAAATAGCAAAATTTTTGAGCTTAGTAATTTAAATGATAATATTGCCATATAAGAGGTTAAAAATTAAAATTAGCAATATACTTTTTCAGTACAAAATTTCATGAAATTTCTATTAAATTTAAAACTATTAGATGTGGATCTAATACTTACCTAACTAAACTTGGCCCCATTTTCTTTAACTACTTTAATAAAATTATTAGCATTATTATGAAAGAAAGTTTTCCTTGGATTACCACTGATAATCGACCGATTTTAGAATTTATTAAACAAAATAAAATTAATTCTATCGCGTCTTTTGGTTTCCAAGATCTTTTCCATAGCATTTTTATTTATAAATTAAAAGATGTTCTTTTGAGTTATTACTATGATTTTAAAAATATCCTTCATTGCGATTTTGATTAAGGGGAAATATTTGTCTTCTTAATAATTATCTTTATGATGGAAAACATATTTTTATTGAAACTGAGGTTAGGCAAATATTTCAACTCTCTTAGCTAACCTATTTTTACACAATTATGAACAAAATTATACTCTTAACTTTAAATTTATTTTTAGATTTAATGATGATTTAATTATCTTTAATTTTCAAAGTTATACAATTTTCTTGAATAATATTTACCCCGAGGAACAATCTTGCTTCGTAATCATAATGATAATATTAATTTTAATTTTTTGGAATTAGATATTAAAAAAAAAAGAAAATACATATCTGCATTGTTGATTTATAGGATAAAAGAAATGATTTGAATTCTAACATAAATAAACTAATTATTTAGAATTCTAATGTATCTAAAAACATTTATTTAAATACCATTTTTAATCAAATGAATAGAATTAAAAGAATATGTAATAATGTTTATTCAGCCAAAAAACAAGGACAAACTCTTTCAAAATTTGATACAAAACAATGGATACCCAACTAATGTAATTAAGTTTTATATGTGTTCATTATGTGTTATTACAATTAATAAATTTATTAAAAACTTCATTGTTAACTAAATGTATATTTTCACCATATGCAAATCCAATTCGGGCAAATCTGTGGCTAAAATTTTGTGCAAATCATGTTTTTTTTTTTTAAATAAATGTTAGTTTTTTTAAATCATTAAAATTGTATGTTTAAATATCAACCTTATCAATTATAAACTTTAAATTATCCAGTATTATTACTATCGCTGAATAGCCGACCCAATTTTTTGGGTTTATGACTACTAACGTTCAACTCCGTAGCTTTGTCATTTTGAACCCAATCCAGAAGACAAGGAAACTCCTGTATCGAGTATTGGGAGAAATTTGCCTTCGAGGAGGCCTTTTTGATGGAACTATCACGCATTTTCGTTACATAGAGAGAAAAACCACGAGAACCTCCCACGGTTAGCCTGAGGGCAAGGGGACTCTAACCCATGATCCGTCTACCACAGAGGATATTTCACGGGTCCGTGCAAGCCGGATGCGGAATTCGTATCGACTGGGATTCGAACACGGTTCGCCTCATTGGAAGGCGAACGCTCTATCCCCTGAGCCATCGCAGCTCAAAAGATAAAATTATCCAGTGTAATATTATCTTGAGCACTTCCATTTACGGACCCATCCAAGGCATACCCTCCAACTTATGAGGATTTTGAAAATAATTTTTTCTAGTGGTGGCGAACCAAAGTAGAAATTTTTAAAGCAAATGGAAATCTCATAAAACTTTTATCAGAACTTAAGAATCTAGCCATATGGCCTGCACTTTTATAAGTAATAGTGGACAAGTTACGCTAAAATTAATTTTTTTTAAATATTNAGAGGATATTTCACGGGTCGGTGCAAGCCGGATGCGGAATTCGTATCGACTGGGATTCGAACACGGTTCGCCTCATTGGAAGGCGAACGCTCTATCCCCTGAGCCATCGCGGCTCAAAAGATAAAATTATCCAGTGTAATATTATTATCTTGAGCACTTCCATTTACGAGCCCATCCAAGGTAACTAACAAATCAAACACGCTTCAGTACTGCAGTAAGAACGCGCTATAAAACAAAAACCCTAGAGAAAGCTTTTACATCAATTTGCGTTTTCATATTTTGTAATCTGGCAATCTTATTGCGAAAATATTTTAAATCATTATTGAAAACTTCCCCGTTCATGTAAGTTCACTTGAATTCTCTACTAGCTTCATAGATTTCGTTTTATGTTTTGCTCTGTTTTTTTATTTACATTCTATTTTCTGTTTTTACGTGATATTTATTACTTAATGTGTTCTATTCCATTTTGGTTAAAAAAAAATTTGATTGCTCCTCCTATGATGATATATTTTGCTGTGGCTATATTGATACAATATTAGAAAGCACTCTTTTTTGCGGATATAATCGTGTGAGCTGATGAAGAGATTATATATATATTCATATNATATATATATATATATACTTTTTTAATTTTTAAACAATTTTTTCTTCTCTTTTTTCAATATTCTGTGTTTTTCCATGTTTTCTCTACATTTTGAACTTACTCGTATATAAATGATTCAAACTCAATTTCCAAGTATATCAGAGAAATTTAATTTGAATTCGCTACTAATTTTATTTTATTCTGTATTTTAATTGCATCTTTTTTTTTTGCTCCATATGTTTGATTTCGTATATCTTTTACTTAAAATGTTCGTCCCAAATTATTTTTTTTAAGGGCACCCTTCAAACTATTGTATTGACATATTTTGCTTTGGCTATATTAATGCATTTCTAGATAACACGGATATAATCATGCGAACTGATGACAAGATTATATTTTTTCCTTATTTTGCTTTTCGGCTTTTCAATTCATACTTTTAAAAATATTTTATTCTAATAATTTTTCTTATTCTCCTTTCATTAATCTTTATTATTTTCCATATTTTCCTTATATTTGTAACTTATTTTATGAGTTCTAGATACTTGCAGCCAGCTTATGCGCAGCAAATTAATACTTTTCTTCGTTTTTCTCTTTTATTTTTATCCCTTTCGTCTTATATATAAAGATATTGCTTATTTACAGTCTATTATTAGTAGCGTTACTAAGCCTAACACGTGAATTGTATTAATTTCTATTAAATTAAGGGCTTTTTTCAAAGAAGCAACTGTTACTTTAGACCAAATTTTTTTAAAATAGTAAAAATTTATAAAAAAAAAATGCAAAAAGGGGAAATTTTCGTCGAACTTTCAAGGGACCGAGATTTCGGATCACTATAAAAGGGACTTCACTCTATCCGTTCCGCAAACAATTTTTACTAACGGTTCCGAACTACCTTTTATAATGACACATTATTTAAATAAATGACCCATAAAATGAAATACAAAAATCACTGAAACATTATATGTAGTAACAAAAAATGTGTTCACTTTTATTTTTTATGACTCTTCGTCTGGCGTACAAAAAAGTAAAAAAAATTTTTTTAATCTTTAGCTGATGAGAAATCTTCAACATCAGTTATTGAAACATTCTTCCCGATAATTTTCCTGAATTTATGTTATTCCACTTTTTAAACCTGTCTCCGCTATTAAATCAGCCATTCGAGCACATTAAAGTAGTCTTATCAAATCGCTCTGCATATTCCTCGGCTTAGACTAGAAGTATTTGTCCAGATAATGGAAGATTGCGGATTCTTTGAATGCTGAACCCCATTCCATAATGAATCAAACACGAAAAAATACTTATTGCTGCATTCCATGCTATAGATGGTTTCAAAAATCGGTATATGTATTTATATTGAAGTAGAAATCTCAAAATTATTACCAAAAAAAAAAAAAAAAAAAAAAAAAAAAAAAAAAAAAAAAAAAANAAAAAAAAAAAAAAAATTAAGAAAATAATTCAGTCAAAGACAGAACAAAGTTCATAATATCCAACTTCCTCTCTTTTTTTGGTTCATAATATCCACAAAAAATAACATTATACGTGTAGCGAAACATAAAAAATAACATTATACGTGTAGCGAAACACGGGAGCGAACATTTCGTTCACTATATCCGGGAGTTCACTATAAACCGTGTGCACTGTAGAGGGGTTTAGCTGTATATAGTTTTCTTCCTCATAATTTGTTAATTTATTAGAATTCAATTTGGATTTATTATATACTTTTTATTTACGAAGTGAAAAGACAAAAAATTTGAATTTTTCATTACTTAATTGAAGCAGTAGAAGATAACACTTACCTGAACTCTACTCGTAGGAAATAATTTATTAGGATCCGATGATAATTCATCTTCATTTTGTAAGAGAACTATCACTTCACTTATCACATTCGATAGGTTGGCCTGAAAACAATTTCTTTTATTATAAAATGTAATATTACATGTAACAATGTACAGGGTATCTGCTACATTTTAGATTTTCATATTCATGACTTAACACAACACTAAATTTAAAAAAAGCATTACAATAACATTCATTGAAATGATAGGTATAACCAAAACTATTATACTCTGCGTCTTCATATTTATAGATTTTAAATTAAAAAAACAGAGTAAAGAAAGAGTTGAAGCCATAAAATAGCTGGGGGGAAAAATATAAAAGTAAATAATTCTTTTTTTTCTTTTTCTTCAGAATTATATTCTATAGATACTTTTCTTGTTCATCGGAATAAGAAATACTCCCGATTTTTCTGTTCTCATTTCGGAATAAATAAAAATTCGTCAAGGACTGGCTTGCTTCGGTTAGAATTTTAAATTGATAAAATAAAAAAATAATTAAAAAAATTCTGAAATCAGTGAAGTTTAAAAGATAATTCGCTCTATAGAAATGATGTTTTTTCTTTCATTTTTTGAAAGAACACCATCGTTTTTAAAGAACGTGATAAAAACATTTTATATTTTAATCAAATATGACTGTGAGTGGGGATTTTGTTACAAATTCAGATATTCGGAACACCATGAAATTAGGGGAAGNGGGGGGTATTTTCATTTTAAACATTAGATTTTTCGGTGACCTAAATCCATGACTTTCCATGATTTTTTTTAAAAAAATATTTAAAATCATGACATTTTATGACAAATTTTGTTCAATATCGAAATTCATGACTTTCCATGATTTCTCATAACTTTCCAGGTGGGCAAATACCCTGATTATATAATTTAAGAATCAAATAAAAAGAGTAAAAGGAATAAAAATAGTAGCAGAACAATTTGATAACTTTATTTTTCAAAATAACAGTTTAAAAATTAAATTTACTATTGTGAACTTTTAAAAATATATGTATAATTGCATTTAAAAATATTTATTTACAATTGTCTACTTTAACAAATATATTCATAATTGCAATTACAAAAAAAATTTTTACGTTTATATATTTAAAACACATATTCACAATTCTATTTCTAAAAATATATTTTTTCAATTATATAATAAAATGTATATTTAATCATATTTCGAAATACACATTACATTTTTCGTAAGTGTCATCAATTTATGTTTAATATATAGATCAGGGTATTAAAAGTATTTTCAATTGAGTTAGTATTATTATTCAGACCTAAAATATCAATCTGTTTTTCCTAATAGATTTTTTATTTCGATTGTATAATGATTTCCAGAAGTGGACAGATTTATAAGTTTTTAAAAAACGCTGAAATTGATTAAAGTTTGTATCTCATAAAAAAGGGGACAGAATTAAAAATGAATGCAAGAAAAATTTTACAACACAAATCATTTAGATCAGAGGTCGCCAAAGTGGTCTATATAGACTCCCAAGGGTCTATTTAACAAAAGCAGGGGTCGATCTGAGACAGGGGGGCGAATGGGGGTCGATCCGAATCGGAAGGGTCAATTGTGGGTCGAAAAACGAAACAGTTCTCAATACGCAAATCACACATACCTAATTAAGTATGTAAAATTTGTGAATTTTTTTTATAATTGACTCAATATCAGTTTCTTTATAAAACATAAATTAATAAACGTATATTTATTGGGGTGAAACAAGTATTTACGTACCACCGCGCAGTGGCACGAACTCAGCGCAGTTTATAAGTCATATGCATATGTGCGCTTGTCCAAATGTCACGTGTGACGAGCATTGACGTTACAAATGCAAATATCATACGCAGTTTCAGCTATCTTTGCAAACTGTGTTGAATATTTGCAGTGTCATTATTAAAACTTTTATAGTTTTGGATAATTAGTTATTGTTTCGATAAAACCATTCGTTTGGTTTAGATATCAATTTTAATTATCAATGCACAAAAAAGAAGGTAAGCATTAATAATATGGATTAGTACAGCCCGCGACAAAACTATAGCACACTTTGTATTTTTTTACGAAAATTACAAAATTGACCAATTTTGACGAAAATTAAAATTGACCAATTTTGAACCCAATATAGCGAACCTTGCAAAAAAACACCAGGCACACCCATCTTATTGATCAAGAAGCAGTAAATCTTTAGTTACTTTACTTATTATATCTACTTATGCATAATTACTTATTATTTAATAATAAGGTATTTAAATTTCAATATTAATATATTTTTCATAAAACTGTTGCTACATAATGTACTATTACTTTAATAAATGTTTAAAATCGTAAAATAAATGTACAAACACAGTATCTAATAGAGTTTTATTTTAATTAACAGAAAATTACTTTTATGGGGGTCGAAGATTTCGAAAAATTATGTAGGGGTCGATGATCAAAAAAGTTTGGCAACCCTTGCATTAGAGGATATATTATATAAATATAAAATATTGATTATATCAGGCATTATATTAGAATATTGTAATAATTAGACCCAATGTACTGTAGTGTTTTAATAATGCAATGATTTGCACGAGTTTATAGGCAATACTTTTAGATATAAACATACATGTAATGAGTTTTTATTTAGGAGATTATTTTATATACTTCCTATTTGTATTTATTTTTAACGTATAGCATGACAATGTTAACGAATTGATACAGAAAGGTAAACAAGTGAAAACAGATTAAAAACAATAAAGCTGTATAGAGTATCTCACCTGATAATTAAGATTTTACATAGAATCTTAGAGTAGGTCTAATAATGTGGCCAGGGACTACAGAACAATATTTTATTCCCAACTGAATCTATTATAAATTCATGGTCAAATGCACCACGGAAAACGTGTAAGGTCAAAAAAAAGAAAAAAAAAATCAACGATTCAAAAGATAAATAGTTACATTTTCACCTGCCTCAACTGCCACAATCAACTACGTGTTTTCTACCTTCAAAAACACCTTTTACAACGAATGTTTTAATAGATTCTTTCGGTTCCGGTAATGATGATGATTTTCATGTTTCTGCGCCAATTCGTCGCGCGAAATTTCTCGTGGGCAATCATCGTAAGCACAATTCTTCGCAATGACAATTAAGAGTTGTGGTGGTTCAGGGGATACAGAGTGAGGTGAACTGGGTTCGAATCGCAGCGATGGCGAATTTCACACCACAGTGCTGGTATAAAATATCCTCAATGGTAGATGGATTATGAGTTAGAGTCGCCTCGCTAACAGGCGGACCGCGGTTGTCCTCTTCGTTTAACGCAAATGTGGGTTAGTTCCATTGAAAAGTCCTCCACGAAGGCAAGGTTTCTCCCAATAATTGTATCAAGAGTTTCCCTGTCTTCTGGGTTGCGTTCAAAATGACAAGGCTGTGGAGTTGAACTATGGTAGTCGTAAACCCAAAATTGGGTCCCACTTTTGGGTCGGCTGTTCAACGACGGGTATAAAAAAACCGACAAGTAAAGCATCGAGACTCGTGATGATTGGACTCATAATTTAATAGTCATATGGGTTTTATTTATGAAAAATGCGAGTATTATGAAAATTGTTCATACTCTTCTTGTAAGTTAAATTAAGCAAACCACCTTAGATGCTTTCGTAATGTTTGAACGGTCACAAATTAGATATTTAGTTGAAAACAATGCCTTCATAAAAAGAACGTCTAGTAAAATTAGATTTTTTTTCTTCCTTCGGAGAAACCGCTGCACAAGATATTTTTACATATGTCCTCATACATGAAAATAATAATAATCTGCTGTGATTGGAAGTTGTGAGTTTTGCTATTTTTGTGACTGCAGACGTGTTTTGTGCAATTGTATAGACTATGGTTAATGAATTTACATAGAAAAAAAAGAGTTAAAAAAAAATGGCGTTCACAAACGAAAGTAAAAGTAATGCAGATGATTTTTCAGATTATGAACACATATAAAGACTCATATTTAACTTTTTTCATTTGCCCGAGATCATTTGGAATAGTCAACTGATGGTAAATTAAATAGTTTTTACACATGAAAAAAATTTCAACTTTAAATTTGCCCATTTATGTTTTGATTTAGTTCCTTGTACTTATTAAAAAATGTTGCATTTTCTTCAAAATAATTGGTAAGGGTTAACAAACGGCGAACAAAAATTGAAATCAAAAGTGTTTTGAGACAGTTTTTTCGAACTTTTAATGAAATGAACGAACATGAAAACACTTTGTTGCCGTTTAATGACTGAGGCATGGGATTAACGAGAGTAGCCTCGGAAGAATGCTTTCTTTCCATCCGTTCTATTGATGGTTAACCATCCTTAGCTGTAGACCAACTTCTGATCATTATTCTGCTGCCATCGAAAGAGCATAAAGATTTCTAAAAGTTTTTTTTTCCATGTGTGTGTGACGATGAGATAGAAAGACATGCGTCCATTTTGGTGCCTTTTGGACGACGAATAAAAACAAATTGAATTCATGATGCCCCTCTGTAAACCCCGTGACCACAATTCAGGCAACGTCTCATTATCGCCATTTTCTTGCCTATTTGATTAGCGCTCTTCATTGGGTCAGTTTTTTTTTTCTCGAATGAATGCTTCTTAACGCAGAGTCGTTTTTAATGGAGCTCCTACTTTTGGAAGGAAAAAAAAAACCCTTTTAGCATTGTTTTTGACAATTTTCAAGAATCATGAAATTTTGAATCATGTAAAAGGAATGGCGTTTTCATACGCTACGAGCTGACAATACTCCGAAATAGATTGGGGTTGAATTGATTGTGAAAACGTTGAATAGAACTATGCGTACCGTGACTTTTTGCATAATTCGTAGGGAAAATCAACATGGTAACGGAAAAATCTCATTTTGAAAAAAAAAGGGAAAATGAAGCACTTTTTTTTTATCTCAATCCATTCAGTATTAAAGATTAGATCGGAAAATATACCTTTCAGATTGCACTTACACGCGTAATAAGTGTACATATGTTGGGGCTATCTGAGTGAACGAGATACTCTTTGAATCAACTTGATTCTATGTAAATTCTTTATCATTACGGGGCAATTCCATATGTGACGGAATGACATTTTGACTTGCATGATGACAATTAATTGAAGTTTCTATGCATCTAATTTAAAATAAATATGATTTTTTCTCATGCATATCATTATTATTGGTATAATGTGATTCATAAACTAAAAAAAAAGAATTTTGTATTTTTTTTATTTTTAATTTTATGAACTTTTTACTTGTGTGACGGAATGACATTTTGGCAACCAAGCTTTCGGCATGCCGCTTAGAACTGGTAGTTTCTGTGAATTTTGCAACTATTATTTTCCTGAACTATTTTTTACTTTTAGTATAATGTGTAAGCAATGTAAATTGTGAATTTGGAAAATTAACCTCAGGTTGGTTAGCAGTTATTAACATCTATTTGCTGTGACGGAATGACCGTGACGGAATGACAAAAAGTTTAGTGGAAGAAAGTC